TCTCCCTGGCTCCTTCCTCCATCTGGTCCGCCCTGGTTCCTACTGTTTCCTCCCTGGCTCATTCTTCCATCTCCACCCTGGACTCTGTTCCTGCCAGCCCTTTTACATCCCACTTCCACTCCTAAGTCCCCCTCCGTCCCACCCTTTTTCCCACGGCGCGAGGTTGCGCCTTCCGGGAGGGGGGCGAAATGTCACACCCCCATTGGACTGGTTGTTGTGCTTTCTCCCTCTTGTGCCCATATTTGGTTTGGTTCCTGTTGTCATTATTCGTTAATCACCTTCATTGTGTTCACCTGTCTGCACCTTTTTATCTGCCCTATTTTAGTTCCTGTCCATTGAGTTAGTTTGTCGGTTATTGCTTATGTCTCCCTGTGTGTGTGTGTGTGTTGGACTTCATCTTTGGATTATATTAAATGGATTATTCTCTTCAACCTTCATCGTCGTGAGCCTTTTGTGTGTGCACAGCACAGAAACCGTGACAATTCTACATATACTTACATTACATAAGACTATATACGTGTGTGTGTGTATACATATATACCTTTTCATATGTTCTGGTCTTATTTAATGCTGCTTTATACTGATAACCAAGCATGTAATTATACGCCTTCAGGCTTGTATTATTTTTACAATGAAAGAGACAAGCAAAACGAAACAGATCAGAGACATATATCTTTATTATTAACCAACTACCCCATATTATAATTAAAACAACCTGTTGCTTGGTAAACTATATATGTATTGTACATAAAATACATTACGCATACTATTTTTGACTTTTATTTATGAATATTAATTTGTTCATTCATTATGAATGTAAGAAAGTCTTCACTAAACCTTGTTCATTTTTAAGTGTTACCTCTGTTAAAATAAATATAACTCAATTATATATATATATATATGTAGATGTTTCAGCAAAAGAAAAGGCTGAATCTTTGTATGAATAATTAGCCATTTGTATTAGTTAAATAACAACAAAGCTCAAGTGTATTTAATTGGCTTAAATCTAATTCTATGTAATGAAATTACATTTTCTCTCAGACTCTCTTCAGGGGAATCAGAGGTGTGTTGCTGTTATTCGCCTTGCTTGAGTTTATCATCTCCATCTGTCTGTCAGCATTTGCCTGTAAATCCAACACCTGCTGTGGTCCTCCTCAGGTGAGTAATGCACAAAATCAGGGGTTCCCAAACTGTTTTATTATATATATATATATATATATATATATGTATAGCTCCATTTAAAAAGGTAAAATCTAAAGCTGTATCTCAGCCCTGGATTAACACATAGAGAGTCGGTCAATCAGACAAAAATGGAGACAAGCGGAGAGGAAATGGAAAAAAGATAAGCTCCAAGTCTCGTATGAGATTCTTAGAGAGTGTATGGTAACTTATCAACAGTTTATTAAATCGGCCAAGGCGCAGTATTTTTCTGACTTAATCTCAAAGAACCACAGCCCCCCTCCGCATTGTCATGGACTTCTTTTGTTGTGTTTTCTTTTAGTTTCTGTCGTCCTTTGATTAGTTCATTCTGTTCACCTGTGTTTGATTAGTTATCATCCTCACCTGTTTGTCCCTCGTTATCTCACCCTACTTAAGCTCCCCTTTTGCGATCAGTTAGCTGCCGGTTATTAGTTGTGTATGCTGCTTGTGTTACCCTGTGTTTTGTATGAATCTTCATCACCTTGGATTACTATTAAATGTTATTTGGATTACCTTTGTCTTTGGAGTTGAGTTAACTCAAACAAGGAGTTAAGCGGCGTGTTTTCCCCCATTTGTTTTTCGTATTTGAAAGTCTTTTATTTTTTTGTTATGGATCACCCCAACTTCCTCCTCCTCCTGCTGGAGCAGGAGGAACTTTCCCTTGAGGACCACATTGGATTATTCCTGGACATTTCCCACAGAACCAGCTAACGGGACGACGCGCTCTGCTCGTTCTACATTGTGAGCCTCAACACCGCGTTCAGAGCACAGTTGTCCGGGGAAGGCACTCGAGGGAGCTTCGCCGCATTGTGGAGTGGGTGCTGGTGAGCAACGGATCCCCGTTCACTGTTGGCCACGCTGATGAGGAACTCACCAACCCCACTCCGGACCCAGAGCCCAACCAACCATCACCCCGCTGCGTAGAGCTTTTGCTAGAGCCCGCCGCGACCGAGCCATCGCCAGAGAGGGCGACAGAGCTGAGGATTGCCCCGGAGCCTCATGGATCGTCTGACCAGGTGCGAGAGCCGGCAACAACGCATGCGACGGTGGATGTAACAGTGGAGAGTGAGGGCACAGAGGAAAGCCCCGCCCACTGTACCACCGCTGAGGTCTGCCAGTCTCCATCGGCGTCATGGCTGGAGGATCTCTTATCTCCGCCTCCAGCCTCTGAGTCCTGGACTCCACCTCGGCCCATCGACCCAGCGGCTCCTAGCTCCCTCCTCTCAGCCGTGGCCCATCAGTCCACAAGCTCCGCCAGTCTTCCCCATCCATCCGGCTCCGTTTTGGTCAGTCGTTTACCCGCCATCGCCTCAGGACTCCACTCCTCCGGCTGCGCCTTGTCGATCCGTCCCACTGGCTCCGTTGGGCTCATCTCTCCCTCCATCTCCACCTTGGTCCTCTGTCGCTTCGGCTCCACCACGGCCTTCCGGATCCCCACCTACGCCGGATCCCCACCTACGCCTCGGTCGCCTGAGCCATCAAAAAAAAAGATTTCTTTATGCTTTTTACCCGCCAGCTTTGTGGTTTCATCGATGGCATATTACTAGGCCTAATTAGTTTTGTAATGCTTAATACGTTTATAATAATTAAAATTATATTATAAATATTAAAATACTGACAACAAAAAATCAACACATATTACACATGCAAATATAACACATGTATTTTATGTATTTATTATTTTTAGTATCTTGAAACTCTCCCGAGCAGCGTTTTGCGCTCAGATAAGATGGCAATGGTCGTAGGGCGCCCTCAGTAGGCGGTGTATCTTCTCAGTAATCTTCAAGATACAGTACAATCTTTATATTTATAATGAACTGTCACCTTAAAAATGGTGCTTACGAGCCGTAGCTACAGCAAATGTTGTCATTATGTCTTCCATATCCAAAGAACATCTCAACTCAACCCAACCTTTATTTATAAAGCATTCTCAAAACCATTAACAAAACCATTCAAATGGACCAAAGTGCTGTCCATAAATAATAAATACTAAAATTCATGCAAACATAAAATGACGAGATATAACATCAAGAAAAAACATACAGTGTTTCTCAGTTACTAATCTCAGTTACGTTATGTAACCATCGTTCCTTGAAAGAGGGAACAGAGATGTTATGTCGGCACTGACGTTAGGGGTCTCCCTAAGATGTCTGCTAGAGAGGAGGCAACACTTTGAGTGGAGTGAGCTCTCACCCCCAAGGGGCATGGCTCGCCTTTTATCTGCTACCCCAAGGTGATGGCATGCACTAGCCAGTGGACCAACCTCTGTTTGTAGACAGGCTTTCCCTTCTGCTGACCTCCAAAGCAGACGAAGAGCTGGTCAGAGCGTCTAAAGCTCTGGGTGCGTTCCACGTAAATGCGCAAAGTGCGAACGGGGCGCAGCAACATAAGATCTGCCTCCTCCCAGGCAGTGCTTGCAGGTTCACTACCCGGGACCAGGTAGTGAACCTGCAAGCACTAGGGAGTAGTGGGAACTTTCGGCAAATAACCAGGCCAGGGTCTCAGGGTAGCATGAGAGTCAGCCAGCCCAAATTCAAGGCACAAATCGATGACCGAAAATGCCTGCAGGTCCCCAATCCTCTTGATAGACGTGAGCGCAACCAGGAGCAGTCTTAAATGACAGAAACTTAACTGAGTTAAGCAGCTCAAAGGGAGCTCTCCGTAGTCCTGCAAGGACCACATAGAGATCCCAAGGGGCAGAGGAGGTGCGATCTTGGAGAATTTAATCTCCTCGCGCCTCTCAGGAACCTGATGATTAGGTCGTGCTTCCTTTAGAATCTTCCATCCACTGCATCATGATGCGTCGCAATGGCGGCGACATACACTTTCAAAGAAGGTCCTTCCTCAGGGGAGATTCTCCAGGATGGGGCTGTCGCAAGGAGCTTGAGAACGGAGAACCAGGTTGGGGTGGGCCAATATGGCGCAACCAAGCAGGACCTGCTCCTTGTCCTCCCTGATCTTGCACAAAGTTTGTGCAAGGAGGCTCACTGAGGGAAATGCACACTTGTGCAAACACTGGGGCTAGCTGTAAGTCAGTGCATCCATGCCAAGGGGGGCCACGGTCAGGGAATAGAACAGCTGGCATTGGGAGGATTCCTGGGAGGCGAACAGGTCCACCTTGGCTCCCGAATTGACTCCAAATGAGCTGAACCACCTGGAGATGGAGTCTCCATTCTCCCAGAAGGGTAAGCTGTCGTGAAAGCGCATCAGCTGCGTCTGACTCCAAAGGAGGAGATGGCAGGCGAGTTGCGACATGTGATGAGAGTGTACCCCCCCCTTAATGGTTGACATATGCAACTGTCACAGTGTTATCCATGTGGACGAGCACATGCTTGCCTTGCAGCAGTGGACGATACCAGCGAAAAGCAAACAGTACTGCTAGCAACTCAAGGCATTTGATATGCAACTGCAGTCGTGGTCCCGTCCAGGAGCCCGAGGCTGCGTGCCCGTTGCATACAGCGCCCCAGCCCATCCTGGAGGCATCTGTTGTGACAACAACACGCCTCGACACTTGCTCCAAGAAAGTCTGGTGTCAGATTGGTGTGATAGCCACAAGATGTGTGCCTCACCACCATACTCATCTGGGGACTTGATTCTGAACCCAATGCTGAAGCGGTCTCATATGCAACAACCTGAGCAGCATTACTGCCACCGAGGATGCCAACACCAGCAGTGCCATTTTATTAACATATGTTAATATCACACTAACACGGTTGTGTCTTAGGAAATATAACATTGCTGTGTACGGATCAAATTATTTAAATGCAGTGATGGCACACTTCTCTCCAGTTATTACATGATTCTTAATCCTAAAATGGTTTTTATTTTGAAAGGGTGTTTATTGTCAATACTTGGATCAGGTGAGTTTGTTTGTACATTCTTTGTTTAGCTCACAGGCAACATTTAAAAACTACATGGCAATCTAGTTCACATATTTTGAAAAGGCCTGAAGGTAGGTAAATTTACAGAAAATTAACATTTTTTGGTGACATCTAAAACAGTTACCTCCTAAAGTGAATCTTCATGTGTTCATTAAGGGTTACTTTACGTCTGAAACATTTTCCACACTGATCACAGGTGAACGGCTTCTGTCCAGTATGAATGTCCATGTGAGTCTTAAGATTTCCTTTCTGTGTAAAGCTCTTCCCACACAGTTTGCAGGTGTGAGGGTTTTCTCCAGTGTGAACTCTCATGTGGGAATCAAGGGATGGTTTATATCTGAAACACTTTCCACACTGAGAGCATGCGTAAGGCTCCTCTCCCGTGTGAACTCTCATGTGAGTCTTGAAGCTTACTTTATGAGCGAAACGTCTTCCACACTGTTGACATATTAAACAATCCTCTCTTGAGTGAATCCTCATGTGGGAATCAAGGGTGTCTTTATGCGTGAAACTCTTTCCACACTGATCACATGTGAATGGCTTCTCTCCCGTGTGAATTATCATGTGTTTTTTAAGGTGTACCTTTTGAGTGAAACTGTTTCCACACTGTTGGCAGGTGAAACGCTTCTCTCCAGTGTGAATTATTATGTGGCTTTTAAGGTTCCCTTTTTGACTGAAACTCTTTCCACATTGTTGACAGGTGTAAGGTTTCTCTCCCGTGTGAATTCTCAGGTGGTCTTCAAGGTTTTGTTTTCGACTGAAACTCTTTCCACACTGATGGCAGGTGCAAAACCTGTAAGATTTTTTCTGGGCTCTCCTTATTGAGGAAGTCTTTTTGGATTTTTTTCCAGTTATGAAATCATGATGTTGCTCTTTTATGTCATTCAGTTCTTGATTCTCCTCTTTCAGTGGCATCAGGTCTACAGTGGAAAAAACAAATACACGTTATTCCCACACTATAAAAATTGACTGTAACATTGTTTCTTTTAATAGTATAGTACCATTTTAATTGAAAGCAATGTATTATGGGAAATTTTTGCCATTTCCTATGTACTGTAATATACTGTCAGTAGCATTGCATTTTGGGGTTTATTTAAAATCAATGGCAAAGAGCATGAATACAGAACATATACCGTAAACAGCAAAATCTCCATTGTTAAAGGGGTGGGTCATTGCGATTTTTAACGTTAGTTTGTGTGTAATGTTGCTGTTTGAGCATAAACAATATCTGCAAAGTTACGAAGCTGAAAGTTCAATGCAAAATTCTGGCAGTGTAATGCCTACAAATACGGCTGGTAGGGACTACAACGAGTTACTGCCCGGGTTCGTGACATCACAAACCCAGATAAACCCCGCCCTCGGGAAAAGGCAGCAAAGGGGGCGAGGCTATGCTTGCGCTGCTTTAGAGAAGAGGAAGAGAAAACTAAAGGTGCACGTAAAAATCTGTTTATATATGAATCGCGATTCTGTCTTCTAACGATTCTAATGGATTCACGCGTTTCAAAATCAATGTTCAAAAGCAGCGGTTCTCAATATTGTTCCTCGCGTTGCCCCTGCTCTTCAAACGCTCTGCATCTCTCTCTCATTCAGCTCAGCTCCGACAATGAACTGTTCCAATTATACACTTACTTTCACATAGCTATGAGAAGCATTAAACATGGACGCGCATGCGGTTGCTGTACTGTATTAAAGCTTTAATCAGGATAAAACCGTATATTAAAAGCTAACATAAGCAGTAGCATTTACAACAGCGTATCTAAAAGTATGAGACAACAACAAACAAAAAACATAGGCCTACCATTTAAATCTAGATTAAAGACACATCTCTTTGGCCAAGCATTCAAATAATGCATCTCATAATCTTGTACTGCAGTTGTATCTGATCAAATGCACAATATTATTTTATAGCTTGGGTTTAACAAATTAATTTTACTTGGATAGAACAGCAGCTATGCTAATCATGTCTCTATTTGTTTCTGTTTCTGCTGGGATTGACATCCCGTGGTAACTAGGATTTACACAAGCTTCAGTCTGGATCCAGAACACCTGAGAAGAGATGATGCCAACCCCTCAGAGGACCTCAGATGATGCCAACCCTGAAACAACATACAGAACTACCACATTTTGCTATAAGTTTGATTGCATCATATAATAACTGCTGTTAATAGTGTTCATCGTCTGTTTTATTACGTCTTAAATTGATTTTTCCGTACATTTCTGCCATATGTACATTAACTGACAGTCACCACTGATAAGCTACCACTAAATATTGTAGAAACTTAATTTGCTGTAAAGCTGCTTTGCAACGATTTGTATCATGAAAAGCGCTATACAAATAAACTTGAACTGAATTGGATTTCAGTGGTAGTTCATAGTTGTGGCAAGAGTGACGTATTGTGTCCGTTCCCTCCTTCAGGCAACGAGAGTTACATTCGTAACAGAGACATTCCCTTTCAGTCAGTCATGTTTAAGGTTACATTGATACAGACGTATTGTGGTCCCTATGGAAAGCACCACAACCATTGAACTATGTTACGAGATTTGGTAATGCAGGTGGTGGTAAGCGTAAACGTGGCTAGACAGATGCAGTCGCAAGCCGTAACCTTCCCAATGCTCTAAGTAAGCCATAATCCTTCGCACCTACTTAGAGGGGTTGAAAAGACTTTCTGAGGGGAAGGTCATTTGGTGTTCCTTCTTTATCTTTCCTTTTATTTATTTATTTTGTTTAATGAAAACTTTCTCAGTAACGACAACTTCATGTTGGGGAAGCTGCGGAGCCACATATTGAAAAGACTTTCTGAGGGGAAGGTCATTTGGTGTTCCTTCTTTATCTTTCCTTTTATTTATTTATTTATTTTGTTTAATGAAAACTTTCTCAGTAACGACAACTTCATGTTGGGGAAGCTGCGGAGCCACATCCTACCCATAGGGAAGTGATGCACATGTGGACTGACCTAGGGCAGTACTACATATGGAAGAACCACTGCGGTAGTTCCTAAACAGAGATGGAACAACTAACAATGCAAGGTCGGACAGAAAAAATTCTGTCAAGGGAAAGACACAGGTTTTCCAAAAGGGATGAATGGACCATGGGAAAATACACATACAGGATTACTCGAAGGGGATCTCATGTATTCAGCACCTAACCCAGTACAAGGGCTGACTGGACTGCCATGCAACATGAGTACTGAGCCTGGTGTCAGCTTGATCGACGCAGGGTGCTGGAGGAACTCAGCCAGGGTTCACCGCCTGGGGAACTCTCTTGAACAGCAGAAAAGGTCCTTCCTCAGGGGGATTCTCCAGCGAGGGGCTCACTGGGGGGAATCTGTACTTACACAGACCCCAAGTTCAGCTGTGTGCCAGTGCATCCGTGCTGAGGGGGGCCTCGGTCAGAGAATAAAACAGCTGACAATGGGAGGACTTTTAGGAGGCAAAAACTCAGCCAGGGTTCACCGCCTGGGGAACTCTCTTGAACAGCAGAAAAGGTCCTTCCTCAGGGGGATTCTCCAGGGAGGGGCTCACTGGGGGGAATCTGTACTTACACAGACCCCAAGTCCAGCTGTGTGCCAGTGCATCCGTGCTGAGGGGGGCCTCGGTCAGAGAATAAAACAGCTGACAATGGGAGGACTCTTAGGAGGCAAACGGGTCTACCTGAGCTTCCCCAAATCAATGCGATGTGAGCATACACCACCTTGATGGTTCTTGATGGTTGATGTATGCAACCATCACAGTGTTGTCTGTCCGAATGATGTGTTGTCTTGCACTGAAGCAGCAGCCGGAAATGGAGTAGGGCAAGCAGTACCACTAGTAACTTGAGGCAACTGATATGCCACTGCAGTTGAGGTCCTGTACAGGAGCCAGAGGCAGCGTGACTGTTACATACAGCGCCCCAGCCCAATCTGGAGGCATCTATTGTGACAACAACATGCCTCGACACTTGCTCTAAGAGCACTCCTGCCTGTAGAAACGCAAGGTCTGACCAAGGGCTAAATAAGCGGCAACAGATTGGCGTAATGCTCACCCAATGTGTGCCAACCTGTAAGTTCATCTGCTTCAAGAACATCAAGTCAAGTTGAGCTTTATTTTCATTCCGCTACATGTGGGGACATACAGTGGAACGAAATGTCATACCTCACAGGACCACGGTGCTACATAAATACAGACATACAACAATGGAGTAAAATGTTACCACCTCTCTGTGAGCAAATAAAATAAACCCAATCTAGATCTCTGGGGTGTCTCAATCAGCTCCCTAGTCCAGTAGTCAGCACACTAGTGAGGGAGTCAGTCAGAGAGAGAGTTAATGGCCTGATTAGCTCATAAACACTGAAAACTATCACTATTCATGAATGAAGGAACACAAAATACACAGACACTTAATACTTAGTTATGATTAATAATTTGTATGTTTTGAGAGTTTGCAAATTTGACATTGATTTTATACAGCGCTGATTCGAACGAGTCAACTGAATCATTTGGCGAGCGATTCAAGTGAGTCATTTGGCGAATCAACTGATTCGGCGTTTCAAAAGGCTCCGTTTCTCCATCACTACTCGCCACTGAACAGATTCGTGTTCATGATGAACTGGGAGCGAAATGATGAGACGCAGCTTTCCTGTTGCTAGCTTTACTCACACAAAATATCCTTCATGAATGTCGCATAAAGCGTTATGATATCACACTCAAGAATATTTCATCCGATTTATAGTTCTTGTAAAAGTTATACACGTCTGCATCGACTTAAACACTTTGAATGATTAAAAACACAAACCTTTCCTCAGCCGAATCATAACAGATGCAGGAGCGCGGCGCAGCCTGATGACGTCACAGCGGCAGACCAAAATAAAAGTCCTGTTCGCTCGCTAAAAGTGCATAGAAGTCCACACATAATAAAACACGTCAGCAGTGGATGTGTCTGTTTTGCACTCTTGATGTTTTAGAGTTTCACCCCTTCATTGCTGTGCAATTTTGTTCTGCATCGTGGGGGATTTGTAGATTGCAAACACATTTTTTTGCCATTTCCCATTCATTTCCTATGGTCGGTCATTTTTGAACGAAGACCATGAGTGGGACTATTTTTTTACGAGCACTTAGCTTTTTCGAATCATGCCCTCAATTTCTTTGTGTGTTCACATACCAAGTGCCATAAAAGTCACCAAGTTTCGTACCATTCCGATGAAGCTACGACTTTTAAATATTCAAAATGTAACATTCTTAGACCGCACAAGGAAACAGGAAACCTTTATTGTTAATGTTTTACAGTGTGACTCAACGGCACTGTTCAGATTGTTATGAAATGATAAATGGTAATGATTTCACCATTTTAGTGTGATTATTTCATATTTCGTACAGAAACCAGATGAAATGATTGTGACTCTGCAAAACTCTCCTGTCTTCCACTCTATTTGTTCATTAACTGGTCAGCCGGTTTCTGTATGTCCAGCATCCTAAGGGGGAATCCGCATTTATAACATGCCCCAGTTCAGCTTCATCCCCCCTGTTAATCGGTGGTTTTCTTCCTATTGTATGGTGAAAGTGTCCATTGGCTTTTATCCTGCGCTGCAGAGTAGATTTAGGGACATTCCATGCCCTGGCCAACAGTCTCAGCTGAGGGACCCAGCATCCTCAAATGTCTGCCTCTCACACACACACACATGTTGGGTTTCCATGTTTTATGGGGACTCTCCATAGGCGTAATGGTTTTTATACTGTACAAACTGTATTTTCTATTGCCCTACCCCTAAAACTACCCCTCACGGGAAACTACAGGCATTTTTAGAGTCTCAAACAACTTAATTCTGTATGATTTATAAGCTTGTTTCCTCATGGGGACCAAAAAAAGGACAGGGACTTTGGATATTGCCATCTTTTTGTCCTGTAACCTGAACCACAGACACACACACATCCACAAAGAGCCTTCAAACCACCATTGCCGAAGAATACAAATTTCCTATGACGCTAAGCAGCTGTAGTAGCAGTATTCTAATAATGCATAACAACACTAAAACCCTGTACATAACCATTTTTATCCCACAAACCATATTCCAACACATTTTTTCTGACTGAAGTACTGTCCCACATTAGGCTAATCATTCTGTCCCATTTTTCCGAAACCACATTTCCTAATTTGGGATGAAATTTGATAAAAAAAAATGAAATATATAGTTTATATATACAAAGTTACACAATTTTTAAAATTTCATTACCACATCATTACAAAAAGTAGCAGGATTGTTTTGTTTAAAATTGCCCACTTTAGGGCAATTTACCCTACATTGTTCTATAATGAACGCATCAGCATGACGCACATGCAACAGCGGCTATTACCCGAATTTATACTCCGGTTAAACATGCTGTTACAACATGAACAACTTTGAATACTAATACTAATCTCTCAATAATGTAAAGTTAACAACCAAACACATTTCACACAGGAAATCCACAAATGATAAGCAATTAACAACATTTAAGTGCTTCTTTGAGGAGCTGATAAAGACTCAATAAAGACTTAAGTTGGCTTGAAAAAGCCTAGCCAGAAAGTTTGAAAAAGCTTTACATATCAAACTACTTCAAACCTCAAGCTTTTAAAGTAGTTTTAAAGATTAAAGTTTGAATGTTTTAAAGGCAATACAGTCAAAAACAGATTGCTACGGTACCTGGGGTGGTTGCTAGGGTGTTGCTATGGCACTTGGGGTGGTTTCTAGGGCGGTTGCTAGTGTACTCAAGGTGGTTGCTAGGGTGTTTCTAGGGTACCTGGGGTGGTCGCTAAGGTGTTGCCAGGGTATCCAGGGTACTCAAGCCTCCGCCTTGTTGGCAGAGGCTATTTACACTAATTCTGCCCCCCAACGTATTGATTCTGATAGTCAATATTACAAAAGACAATCAAAAATCGTCAGCTCCAGTGGCGCAGATGGTAAAACGTGTGACGTACTCATTTTGACAAGATCGACCCAGGTTCGAATCCGCCTTTTGGCGAATTTTTTCCTCCCTTTTCAAATTTCAAATCACATCAGAAAAGCATTAGGTTTAGGGTAGGCGTAGGGAGGGCTTTTGTCCCAATAAAGTGGCATCCATTTAATAATTTGAATTAAAATTAAAATTTACACTCAATAAGTTATTATTGCATACTGTTTTGTAATGTACTACAATACTGAGGTGCAGATAATTGCCACTATTTGCAACAAGTAGTATTAATAGCAGAAAATCCTGCAATTTTAACATAGTGTAAATAGAATCTATAGCTATTTGCACTTAGTGTAAATAATATCACAAAAAAATGCTGCTATTTGCACTTAGTGTAAATAGCATCCATCGCTAAGAAAATATGCTATTTTCACTAAGTGTAAATAGCATCTATTGCTAAAAAAATATGCTATTTTCACTAAGTGTAAATAGCATCTATTAGAATCTATAGAATCTATAGCTATTTGCACTTAGTGTAAATAATATCACAAAAAAATGCTGCTATTTGCACTTAGTGTAAATAGCATCTATTGCTAAGAAAATATGCTATTTTCACTAAGTGTAAATAGCATCTATTGCTATTTACACAGTGTAAATAGCCGCTGACTTTTTACCATGTATAACGTTACAGTACGCGACTACAGGGCATGTACACAAATCACAAACTCGTGAAATGTACGTTTGCTAATCTTGCAACACACTTTGGCATCGCGGTCAATACTGTTAGATAATGTTCTCAAAAACCATATCCGTAATAAAAACAGTAAAGGCTGTTAAAAATGATTCGAATGGCAGATCAAAGGCTATTTTGTACTTGTGATCCGTTTTTATTTTCAACGGGTCTGGTTTCGACTAATGCAACTTGAAGGTAATAAACACACGATTGCAACAATATGATTTATGTTTATTAAAAAAAATAAAAATCCGTTTAGTTATTTCAACATCAAATTTGAAATGTAACGCAGGGAATTCTGGAAATGTCAATTTACAGTAATTCACTGTAAATTATATTATATATAGTCTTTTTCACTTCCAAAAACGGTATACTACCGTAAAATTAATGTCCAATACATGTAATGTCCAATACAGTTTTTCACCGTATATAGTAGGGGAATGTACCGTTAACCATTTAACAGGTTTTTACTGTAGCATTTTTACAGTCTTTTACCATTAAATGTGCGGACATTTTTTACAGTGTAGCGCAAGAGCACGGAGAGATTTGCAAGTGCAAAGGACACAGTTTGAGTGCGCACACGGGCACACTTTGAGCACGAGGAGAGATTCGCGATTGCAATGGACACGTTTTAAGTGCGCGCACACTCTCTGGGCGAGAGCAGCGCACATCTGAGAGCGCGCGTCCGGTTTAGTGCGAGAGCAAAGGAAATTCACGTGAGAGCGGAGAGATTTGCGCTCGCGCATCATAGCAATGTACTTTCAGTGCGCTCTCGACATTTGACAGTAAAATAACGCCATATTTTCAGAAATTGCGTACTGCACCTTTAAGTATGCTAATTCTTCCATCATGTCCAAGTGGATTATTAGAAATGGACTCTAGACTTTGTGCTACTTCATTTACACTAAAGATAATATTTAAGGAATTTACTCACCATAATTGATTTGGAGTTGCAACACTAAATTCGTCGACGGATTGTACGCCTTCTTCTGAACGACCGTCCAATAGGATCGATTTCTTGTAGACTCTGTCTGACACGCCACCTTTGAATGCGTAACCCACGTGACCTCAAGCTCCCATGAACATATCGTTCGCCTGCGTTTGTTGTAGACTGAAGAATTTCACCAACAACTCTGTTCAGGTTATCATTTGATAGTGTTGCATACATCAGTGGCTGAACACCCAGCTGCTGTCTGTGCCTGTACAGAGTCCGAGAGCTTACGCCTAAGCACATTGCAATGCTTTGCCAATTCATTCCCAGGGATACTAAATGAGAAATTTGCTCTCCTGAAATGCTGTATCGAGGTCTGCCTGGATGGCCAGTAATGACAGGTGGAGGAAACAGGACATAATTGTTCTCAGACACAACTCTTTGTCTGGATTCATAAGCAGTCCGCACTAAATGAAGACTCCAAGGACTCCAATGTTGTTACTGCTGCTCTATTTCTTGAATCCTCAACAAATCTTGAGACTGACAGAAATCCACATAGGGTTTGAATGTGATCACAAAGTTCTCTATGCATCCTATCATGCACAAAATAATCGGCTTCTCTTTGCATTTGTTCAATACATTCCAGCACATTGTTAAAAAATTGTCTGATGTCATGTTCATTGCTACTTACTCCCAAAAGTAAAAACTGTACTTGAAAAGAAAACAGGAAGACTTTGAATAGCATCATTGTAAAATTGTGAGGAAGAGCTGAGCTGATTTTTGTCCTGTTCAGAAAATACAAACATCTGTAAAACAAGATATATTTACCTGAAACGCAAATGTAAAATGGAGTCTTGAAAAAACGAACAAAATTAGGTGAGTTTGAATTCATTTGAATTTTCTGAGCTTTATTAGTAGATATTTCTATTACACATTTGATCTAATTTTGCATCTCCAGTAAATGCATCTTGATTTAAGAATCTGTAGATATTTGCAATGAAAAACAAGAAAAATTGTTGAGGAGGACAACACTTTTATTTAAAGCTATTTCTGTATTCTAGTGTTGGGAGCAGAGCGAATGGTTATTGCTCAGTTGATTGTTTTTTTAAAGATGGAAAGTCAGTAAAGCAAACTTTTTAATAATTATGTTGTCGTTGACAATATAGTATAGTAGAGCTCAACTAAAGTTGTATTCATTGGCAAAATGGTAATGTTAGTACAAGTTGTATTTGGAATGAAAAAGTATGCAATCTAATGTTAGATTCGGTGGAAATAACGCTAATAATGTTAAATCAGAACAAGTCAGGCTAATGGTACCAAACTTGACATATTGTTACTTAAGCCAGTGGTCACCAACCTTTTTAAGCCCAGGAGGTTTCATAACAGACAAGCATTTGTGGTTAAAAAGTATAGAAATGTTAATTTTTTAAAATTTAGTTTCACTAGATAAGAGCGTTATTCCTCGGCTGGGATCGCGTAGAGCTCTTTGAAGCGGCACTGAAACTCCAATTTGGACCTTCAACCCGTTGATCCCCATTGAAGTCCACTATATGGAGAAAAATCCTTTTCCTCAAAAACCTTCATTTCATTTCGCATTGTGAATGGAAATGGCATGAAATCGCAGAGGAATTTATTTTTACCATGTGTTTGTATGTTGTGTCACCAAATACAAGCACTATGTAAAAGAGGAAATCTTGAGCGGCACCACAACACCAATCACCTGAAATTTAAAGACAGCTACCTGCCAAAGAGTGCAATCCGTGCAAGGAAAGTGTGTTATATTAATTAGCGTGCATGCAATCTTTTAAAAACTCAGTATTTTTTATTCCACAGCAGTAAATGAGCCAAAGAACTCAACCGATCTCAAAACACAACTGAGGAAATGCTTGAAAACACTCCATGTCAAGCTTTAGAAGAGTTCAAGCAGTTTAGACATTAGCATTAGACAAGGACAAAGATGGCAAAAAATATAGCTGTCAGCATGGGTTGAAACAAAGATGGAAAACAAAAGGCTGAAAATCAAAATACCACTTCTTCAGAACATCAGGAAACAAACAAATTCTATAAACAAAACTAACGTTTATAAGAGATGAGCTCAGACAAAAACCGAACCAAACACAGGGCTATAAATACACAGGGAAACACTAGAGACTAAACGCGATAATTTACTAGACCATTCATGAGGGCAAATCGTAAACCATAGCAAACATGAACTAACACACACACACACACATATGTGGTTTACGGGGACTCTTCATAGGCGTAATGGTTTTTCTACAGTACAAACTGTATTTTCTGTCCCCTTACCCCAACCCTACACTTAAAAGGAAGTGTCCTCATAAACCATGTTTACGTTCATTATTCACATTTGTGTCCTCGTAAACAATGAAGGTTGTGTGTAAACAAGAGATTTCAAGTTGTAAGCAAGCGGGTGGAAAATCATGGATATGCGGAGTAATTACAGGGGTACCATTGGAGGTCACTATGATAGAACTGAAGAGGAATATAAAAGGAGGAAATGTAATTGAAGCAAAGCGATTGCAAAGGAATAGGGAAGGTAATAAGGAAGAAAGTCTTTCTGTAATGGTGCGATTTGAAAGTAGTGGAATGTTACCAAGTAAAGTGATTTGAGACTAAAGGGAGACATTTATATGCAATACAAAAGAAAGTGGGACAAGGTAGAAAAAGTGGGAGAAATGGGAGGGAGGAAAGTATAATTACAAGACTAAGAATGGGACATACAGGTTTGAATAAAACATTACATTTAATATCTAAACATCCAACGGGATTGTGTGAGAAATGTGGACAGAGTGAAACTGTAGAACATGTGATTATTAATTGTAAGGGTTATGATGAAGAAAGAGAAGTGCTAAGAGAAGAAGTATGGATGAATGAAGGAAAAGAGTTAACATTAAAGAATATATTAGACTCAGATATAGGAAATAGTACGATAAATGTGTTGTTTCAGTTTCTGAATAATACAGGTTTAATGGAGAGAATGTAGGATAAGTATAAATAGAGAGGTAGAAGATGCTGATATAGTGTGGGTAGAAGGGAAAGTATATCTAACGGGTAAATAAGGATATAGTGGGATATTGGGATTTAAAGGGAATTGGGGTGGAAACTGGAGGAGCTGAACACGCAGCGCCAGTGTATTTCTTTTTTCTTTTTCTTTGTAATGGGGGGGGGTTAGAAAATGTTAAGAGATAGAGGAAATGTTTCTGATCCAAGCTACCTGATGATGGCAGTAATGCACTGTTGAGTGCGGTTGCCAGTGAAAGAAAGAAGAAGAAGAAGAAGAATTTGACAGAGATGATTTGTACGATCATATCTACATATTTACATGTAACGTTATGCATTTGGCAGACGTTTTTATTAACCAAAGCGACTTACAAATCATCCTCATCATCGTCTAGAGCCGCGCTTCTAGATTGTTTTACTCACAAATGCTAATCAGCACATGGTTAGCTAGCAGCACAGTTCTGAACATTGTACACCTATACAAACTATATGATATGAAGCAACACAGAAAAGGGTGCTTAATTGTAGAAAAAAGGCGTTAGGTAGTGACTTCTACCTACCTACCAATCTACTCACTATGTAGCTGTGGGTGAAAGACAGGAATAATTCCTCATAAATGTAGGGCTGCACTTAAAATCATTCTCAGTCAACGAAATAAAACTAAAACATACATGAAAATGTCAAAAAGACCTGAAAATACAGGGCACAATTTTATTTCATCATTTACAAAGAATGTATACATACAAATAAAGCTTACAGATATTTTAAATATTGCTGTGGGCTTCAATAGATAACAAAAGGATATTTGCAAACATCTAAGATTTGAATACTTAAATGCATTTTAAATGTGTTTGTTGATTGTGGGACAGCATTTTCCACCAGTTCTGTAGAATGGCCCTTATATAGTTGCACCTGACTGTATTATATTCATAAGCATTTTAGGAGTAAGTTCATTGTGTTTATTTTAATCAGCATGTCATGAGAGTTAAGAGATAGAGGAAATGTTTCTGATCCAAGCTACCTGATGATGGCAGTAATGCACTGTTAAGTGCGGTTGCCAGTTAAAGAAAGAAGAAGATCTCCTAACTCTCTAAGCATTTTGGGATTTTTGCGTGGGAAAACAGGACTTTTATTTTGGTAGGTCGATGTGACGTCATAGGCACGCGTCGCGCTCCGGCTCTGTTGTGATTCGGCTGAAGAAAGGTCTGTTTTCAATCATCTAAAGTGTTTAAATCCATGGAAACCGTTCCGGTAATGTTATAGTTTTGAACGTTATTTTTCGTGAGTGAATGAGTAACAAGAGAAAGAGAAAAAACGCGTCTCGTTTCGCTCTCTATAAAGTGAATCAGCTCGTTGTAAAAATGTAGACTTTGTATGTATTTGCTCATTATTTAGCGAGTTGCTAGAGTTGGTGATAAAGAAAATGCAGTCAAAACGCAGGCGATGTGCAAACTCTCAAACCTGGGTCAAGTATTCACTGAAAGTAAACGCAAAATATGCTGATAACACATATAACGGTCTTCATTTATTGCTTTGACATTTCTCTTGTGGCCCACACACTATTGATAGTGAATAAATCTATATTTATTGTGAAGCACGCTAAAGCTGCTGCTTTTGATTTTCATTAATGACTGATTGTTGTGTAGTGTTCAGAACTTTTAAAGATTGTTGATTTATCATTTGAATAATTATTATTAACATATATAGCTGTAGTATTGTTATAATTTGTGTCGTCAAGATGCTTTGTTAATGTTTTAATCATTAACTCTCACTCTGACTGACTCCCTTTCTGATTGAGAGATTTAGATGAGAATAGTTAACAGGAAGAAAAATAAATCTAATCTTAAACACACAGATAAACTCAACTGAGACACACGTGACACACTATTATAAAGATGGCGTTTATTAAAGAGGAGAGAGAAGACGTGAAGATTGAAGAAACATTCAGAGTCAAACATGAAGATACTGAGGAACAAACAAAGATGGAGTTTATTAAAGAGGAGAGTGAAGACGTGAGGATTGAAGAGGCTTTCAGAGACAAACATGAAGATACTGAGACACAAACAGGTTGGTTTTCATTCTCAAAGCTGAATTACAGTCTTGTTGAAAACGCTCATTTAGAAAAGTCTGTGAAGTTTGAGATTTCCACAATATAATAACTAAGAAAATATCTTGGTTTTACTGTATACGCATCAGTTTTTATTAAGGAAAAAAATGTTCCCAACTAATCCAAACACTATCTCATTTACTATAATATTACAGGAAACAGTTAACAACAGACATTGAACTGAATGAAAGGGTTAGTTCACCCAAAAATGAAAATTAGCCCATGATTTCCTCACCCTCAAGCCATCCTAGGTGTGTATGACTTCCTTCTTCCAGACGAATCCAATCACTGTCTGATTAAAGGGATAGTTCACCCAAAAATGAAAATGTGATGTTTATCTGCTTACCCTCAGGGCATCTCAGATGTAGGTGACGTTGTTTCTTCAGTAGAACACATTTGATGATTTTTAACTCCAACTGTTGCAGTCTATCAGTCGTATAATACATGGCAATGGTAACAAAATCTATGAGAGTAAAAAAAACATGCACAGACAAATCCAAATTAAACCCTGCGGCTCGTGACGACACATTGATGTCCTAAGACACGAAACGATCGGTTCGTGCCAGAAACTGAACAGTATTTATATCATATTTTACCTCTAATTCACTATGTGCAACTGTCTTTGGGCGCGCGCAGGCATCCGGTGCGTGAGGTGTGTACGCACTCTGGCGTAGTTTACGCAAGCGCCGGAAGTGATCTCTTGCGCGTATACGTCACTCATTGTTTACACAGCGCACAGTAATTGTAGGTACGACGGCTAATCAAAATGGTACTTGCGCTTATCCGGACTTAAAACTAAAAGATTACGTTCTCTCGCGCGAACTCATTCGGGAGTGGTGACTTTCCACGTATTCCCAACTTCTGAGCCTGCTCGCCTGAAGTTATGGTTGATTGCTCTTTGGCTGGATATCAACACACCCATTAACGTAAACTACGCCAGAGCGCGTACACACCTCACGCACCGGATGCCGTGCGCGCGCTCAAAGCAGTTGGACATAGTGGTGTATTAAGAGGTAAAAATTATATAAATACTGTTCGGTTTCTGGCACAAACCGATCGTTTCGTGTCTTAGGACATCAATGTGTCGTCACGAGCTGCAGGGTTTAATTTGGATTTGTCTGTGCATGTTTTTTTTACTCTCATAGATTTTGTTACCATTGCCATGCATTATACGACTGATAGACTGCAACGGTTAAAGTTAAAAATCATCATTTGTGTTCTACTGAAGAAACAAAGTCACCTACATCTTGGATGCCCTGGGGGTAAGCAGATAAACATCACATGTTTGGGTGAACTATCCCTTTAAGATCACATTGGTGTTGTAGGTTTGGTCATGCGGCCTGATTATGTGGATGTGGCTATTGTGGTTTAGGGTCATTTCACCACCAGTTGGCAGCAGGACGTGCAACACATATGACAGACTTTAAAATAGCCCTCCTTTATTTACCCTCTTAAATGCATGTGCGCACCGTGTGACGATAATACTGTAGTGCCTGAGCCTGTTATCTCTGCGTACTGCCATATTGATTGTTTTAATGCTTTAAACATATATTTGTCGTTTTCTGCTTTAGACATGATGGCGCTGAAAGAAGAGAGTCAAGATCTGAATCAAACAGAAGAGAAACAGCATGCTTTCATAACCGGAGAAAAACCTTTCAATTGTTCAGAGACTGAAAAGACTTTCTTTGAAAAAAGAGCTCAGAAGACTGGAAGTGGAAAATGTTTCACCTGCCAACAGTGTGGAAGGAGTTTCTCTCAGAAAGGACATCTCAAGACTCATATGAATATTCACACTGGAGAGAAGCCGTTCACATGTGATCACTGTGGAAAGAGCTTCACGCATCAAGGAACCCTTTATACCCACATGAGTCTTCACACCGGAGAGAAGACTTACACCTGCAAACTGTGTGGAAAAACGCTGAATCGAAAAGGAAATCTTCAGACTCACATGAGAACTCACACCGGAGAGAAGCCGTTCACTTGTGATCAGTGCGGAAAGAGTTTCACTCGTAAAGAAAGCCTTAATAATCACATGCGGATTCACTCGAGAGAGAGCTGCTGTGTATGTCATCAGTGTGGAAAGCGTTTCGCCGACCGTAATCACCTTAAGAAGCACATAATGACTCACACTGGAGAGAAGCCTTTCATGTGCCAGCACTGTGGAATGAGTTGCGCAAACAACACAAACCTTAAAGTCCACTTGAGAGTTCACACCGGCGAGAAGCCGTTCACCTGCCAACAGTGTGAAAAGAGCTTCTCACGGAAAGAAAGTCTTAAGGATCACATGAGAGTCCACACTGGAGAGAAGCCGTACACATGCAAACAGTGTGGAAAGAGCTTCACAAATAAAGGATCCCGTTACAGCCACATGAGGACTCACACTGGAGGGAAGCTTTTCACGTATCTTTGAGAAGACTTTGGTATAGCAAATAGATCTGAGAAGTCATTTGCAAACTCCTTCTGGCAAGAAAGAGGTTTCGAAAAAGGAGCAATTACGAAAAACACCCGATCTGATCGGAGTCATTTACTCAGATACTGGTCAGATACTTGATTCGATTCTAGTATTTCCCTAGTACTTGGTGCACACTACAGTCATTCAAATCAAACCAATGTGAACCGGGATGTGCAGAGAGTTCTGTTGCAATGGTACACATGTGTGGTCACAATTATGAATATAGGATTACTGATATAAACATCTTGTATTTTATATGTAAAATAAGCAGAGTAATTTCAACAAAAAACGTGGAGATAAGGTGAGAAAGCATGAAGCTTGCGGTCTCAGAAAGACAATCTGTCAATCAAGTAAGCAAGATGCAACCCATAGCAACGCGTTATGGCAACATCTCAGACAGTCAGACAGCAGATAAAAAGAACTTATGAGTGATTTCATAAAAAAGTGGAAGTATGTGTGTAGGTCTCATTCATGCACGCACATTTGAGCTGCTTCATCAGCCCTGATACTGATCCTTGTCAAGAACTTGAAGTCCATAAAAAGTCTTAAATATCATAAATAGTGGGGGAAAGTCTCCACATTTTGAGCGCAAATGGAGGAGACAGTTGAAAAGGCAAACATGTTTTTGATTGGCTGGAGACTGTAATGGTAACTGATTTGAGAAAAAGAGATTTTGAGAAAAATTTCTGTCCAGGATCTCAGTCAGTTCCAGTGTTCGGCACCGATTACCAGGTAATGTGAGGTGTTCACAGATTGAATCTTGCAGCTCCCGATCTGCTCGCAGATACATTACAACCATCCCGTTAATATCAAACATGTTTGATATTTAGGATTTTAAACCGAGATGATTACAGCTATGATTATGTCAGTACTTTCACAATAGCCAATGAGAGAGAAGTTTTCAGGGAGATGGAGGTGAAAGAAATGGTGAAGTATGAGTATGGTCCGAGATGGAGAAATGGTTGGTCGAAATGTGGCAGCAATATGACCGCCATCATCAAAAACATGCAATGTAACCACAATGACAAAGAGAAGAGCTTGAGGAGACATCGCATCGGCTTTGAACGTACCGGATGAGTGTATAAAGTTGCTAGCGCACTAGTTAGCAAGTGTAAACATTAGCTATTGAAATGTCAAACTAAGACCATTTGCTACATACAGATCTATCAAAGGATGCATTGCTTCCTTAAAGGGATAGTTCACCCAAAAATGAAAATGTGATGTTTATCTGCTTACCCCCAGGGCATCCAAGATGTAGGTGACTTTGTTTCTTCAGTAGAACACAAACGAAGATTTTTAACTCAAACCGTTGCAGTCTGTCAGTCATATAATGGAAGTGAATGGGAATCACGTCTTTGAGAGTCAAAAAAAACATACACAAACAAAACAAAATTAAACCCTGCGGCTCGTGACAATACATTGATTTGTAAAGACACGAAACGATCGGTCTGTGCAAGAAACTGAACAGTATTTATATCGTTTTTTACCTCTGATGCACTGCAATGTCCAAACTGTCCTGAGCGCGTACTCAACAGCCGACGCGTCTTCTTCTTCTTGCTTTACAGTGGATCGCAGACTTATAAGTGCATTACCGCCACCTATCTCTCAAATGTACCATTGACACTCTATCTACAATCTCAATTAGGAGTGTCAATGTGCTTTGGTTTGAACGAAAACAACGTAACCAAACAACGTAGAAAATGTATCCGTGTGACGCAGCTGACACAATAGCATATGCTGTTTGCGTTCAGTGGATACTCTCCAAAATGGCGCTAGGGTGACGCGGAGCACACAAAAAGTATTCTCGTAGCTTCGTAGAATTACGGTTGAACCCCTGATGACACATGGATTATTTTACCGATCTCCTTGCTACGTTTCTGGACGTTGATCGTGTTAGGATCCTTGCTGTCTATGGGAGGGTCAGAGAGCTCTCAGAATGCATCAAAAATATCTTAATTTGTGTTCCGAAGATGAACGAAGGTTTTTTTTTGGGTGAACTATCCCTTTAAGATTATCTTAAGAAGTACTGAAGAATAATTGTTATTATATTAAGTACAAAATTAGTGCGTGAAAATAGAGCAATTATGGAAGTGCACTTTTTTTTCACCTGGGAAACATAATTTGTGCTAAACAGTGTATGTTCCCTTTAAGGCAGCAATATTCCTGACAACTGAAAGGCAGGCACTCAAAATCTGTAAAGATTTGGGAGAAACCACTTAATATTCTCTCATCACAAAAACAAAAGCATGATTGCGCGTTTGATAATACTCACCGTCCCTTCAACATCTTTTGGATGTCCCAAGGCAATGAAATCTGATCTGTCCAGAATTGTTGTTGTGATTCCTTTTAATTTAAAGGGGACCTATTATGCAAAATTCACTTTCACATGTTGTTTGGACATAAATGTGTGTTGGCAGTGTATGTACACAACCACCCTATAATGATAAAAATCCACCCACTCCTTTTTTTTTAATCCCCATAAATAATAAGCAGTGTCTCCCAATGGCCTATTTTTAGCATTGGTGCTAATGTGATGTCACATTAGCCACAGGCCCCGCCCACGAATGTTGGCAGACACTGCCTTTTTAACGTAGAACCGCCCTGAGCGAGTTCACAGCGAGTTGTACACAGTCTGCCATTGCTGCACTGACGAGAATGTCTCCCAAGCGTTTAGGGGTTCTGTAGCTGGATGTATGAATCCACAAAGCTCTCTCCTTACTCCCGAAATCTGAGCCGCTGAAGACGATGTGGATTCATTTTGTTTTTGAAGAAAATTCTCCCTCAACTCTACCGAAATTCGTTTATGTCTGCGCGAATCATTTTACTCCGGACTGCTTTGTGAATGAGGGTCAGTATAAAGCAGGTTTTGCACAAAAGTTGCTCCTGAAGGATGGGGCAGTGCCAACTGTTCGTGATCCAGCTAACGTTACGCCAACTAGAAGAAGCAAGTATCACGCGTTTGTTTTCCACATTGCCTTTCTGATAGAGTTTCTTGGCATTTTGTAAGGCTAATGTTGCTAAAGCTACCATAGTCTGTTTTCACTGATGCTGCCTTCACGTCCTACTAGAATGATCGTGAATAGGAATGTGGTAGTTAAAAATTGCATATGAAAGCAATGTGAAATCGACCGCTTGAATTTGTCTAGCTCATAATCATATAGAGAGCCATTGTCTCTGCCTGTTTTCACTGATGCTGCCTTCACGTGCTACCAGAATGATCGTAAATAGGAATGTGATAGTTAAAAATTGCATATGAAAGCAATGTGAAGTCGACCGCTTGAATTTGTCGAGCTCCTAATGTGATAGCACACAAAGGCACCATGAGACCAGTTATGTTGTTATTTTTATCGCGCCGTGCTCCCCGTCTGTGTAATTCAGAAATAATCTGGCAGGGTGCAGAATTTGGCATGACACTGGTTCGAACATATATGGCTGAACACCGCTACTAGCAGTTTCTGACATTTTCAGTGCGTGAGAGAGTGTTTTGTTATTGCTGGCATGATGCCGGTGCGCGAGCTCTAGAAACTCTTCTGAAAGGGGAGGCGGGAGCACCAGCTCGTTTTCATTTAAAGGGACGAACACAAAAAAACAGCGCGTTTTGGCTCATACCCTAAAAATGGCAATTTCAACAAGCTATAAAAAATTATCTATAGGGTATTTTGAGCTAAAACTTCCTATACACACTCTGGGGACATCAGAGACTTATTTTACATCTTGTAAAAATGGGCATAATAGGTCACCTTTAAAGCATTGTTTATCTAAAAAAAAAAATAATTTTAATTATACACTTGGCATAAAATTCAAAACAAGTCAACATACCATCCTCATTTGGTCATTGCTTTATGGATGCATCCAGCATGTTCAGGAAGTAATAGTTTTTGCGTATTGCAGCAAAGAGTTGCTTTTAATTCCTCTCCAGCTCATTTTCATTTAAAGGGACAAACACAACAAACAGCGTGTTTTGGCTCATACCCTAAAAATGGCAATTTCAACAAGCTATAAAATATTATCTGTAGGGTATTTTGAGATAAAACTTCATATACACACTCTGGGGACATCAGAGACTTATTTTACATCTTGTAAAAATGGGCATAATAGGTCACCTTTAAAGCATTGTTTATCTAAAAAAAAAAATAATTTTAATTATACACTTGGCATAAAATTCAAAACAAGTCAACATACCATCCTCATTTGGTCATTGCTTTATGGATGCATCCAGCATGTTCAGGAAGTAATAGTTTTTGCGTATTGCAGCAAAGAGTTGCTCTGCGGTTTGAGTATTTACCCATCTGTAAAGTTCAAGGACTCTCCTTAGAGTATCCCTTGGGTCTTTTGTATTGTATTCGTGAAATCTGTCATGCAAAGCATAATGCTCTGAAGATCCAGTCAGAGGATGGCAGTTGGTATCCTCCTCTTCCTCCTCCTAATTTCAGCTTGCCTTCTTCTGCTAGCTGGATATTTCCTGTGGTTGGTTCAGCAAGTCTCTCTTCATGGGGACTGACTCTGCTTCTCGAAGGTTCATGTGTGCTGGAAGGCCCCTAGCAAAGTCATATTTTACAACATTAGGGAAGTGCTTCTTGCATAGTTTACTCTAAGACTGTAAAAAGAATGCTTCACCCCAAAAAAATGGAAATTCTGTCATAATTTACTCACCCACAAGTTGTTCCACACCTGTATACATTTCTGGGGCACCACTGACTTCCTTTTTTAAGTCATTGGTGCCCCAAAACTGTACCGGCTTCTGCCCCTTCTGAGGAAGCCAAGAGCAGCCAGCGGTCAAGAAAGAGGTCGAGCGACAGCCAGGCTCTTCTTGATTTTCTAAAAGAACAAGTAGAGAGGGAAGAGGAGAGAAAGCTTTACTGTCTAGATGTAGTCATGTTCACTCAGACACGCAGGCAGTTCCTCGGGAGAAGAAAGCTGAGCGGCAAGACGTCCTCGGAGATTGTTCCCTGACAGGTCCCTCTCATCCACTGCTGCATTCTCCATGCCATCCTCGCTGCCATCTTGTCCATGGCTTTGAGATCACTTCCCGTCACGTAAATG